CATAAACATTAAAAAATATAGTCAGTACATTTGTAGTATTACTTTTGTATTACTTACAATATTTGTAATACTCTGTAAACAAAAGAATAGCAAATGTATTATTATTATCGTTATTATTATTATTATTATTATTATTATTATTATCATTATTACTATTATTATTATTATTATTAAGTACAATAACTATGGATTTCCCTGCATAGAGTATTAAATCTGGACCAACTCTGAGGTGGGTCTTAATGGAAAATGACTATGTATGTAATGCTTTTTAACATTTAAAACATAAAATGAGTGGTAGGTATTGCATTACTTCCAAAAACACCTAAGAACTGCAGAGGTGCTGTTATATCTCCAAGTAGTCTATTTGAAGATGCCCCCAACTTGACACATTGAGTGTTTGGTGAATTTCTAAAAATTCTGAGTTGCAATTAGATAATTACATTTAAACGTTAACGATAATCCCAAATAAGACGTTTTCTCTACACTTTTACACAGACATTCTAGACAGTTAAGCATCTACTGAACCTTAAAGACTATGAATGTCTGAATATTGAACCTCCGTTATCAAGCTAACCTTATATCAGTATACATGTAACATCACTTTTTACAGATAAAATATGACCACTGGTCTTAGAATAATCATTAACTACATGTTCAGCTACCAATTAATTAAATGTCCTTTTTCAATATTAAAGTCATGTGCAATTCTCTCCATAGATCAAAGTAAACAACACTATTGATCAGATGTGTATAGACACAGTGGTTCTGGAGCTGTTGACGTTTTTGTCTGACTATATCTATTGTTAAAGGCAACAATAAAACATGTTTGTAAATGCACTGAAATTATTTGGAGGAAAACAAATTGCACAAATTTAATTTCCATTGGAAATCTTGGCTCAGTTTTTAGGTATTAACACAAAAAGAGACAAACCACAAAAGAAAAGGTGCATCACTCTGTGATAGTACTGCCAGGATTCACTCAGAGACTGAAAAGGTACGCAGAATCACTGTGGTTTAGTTTTTAGAATTGAACAATAAGAGCAAAGACTTTCTTTCTGTAGTATACATACTGAAAACAGGTGGTCTTTAATAGTGCTTGGGGGTACACTACATTAATTAAACCTAGATTTTAATGGCATCCATACCTGAGTTCTACCACACTAATACAGTAACACAGACATCCATACCTGAGTTCTACCACACTAATACAGTAACACAGACATCCATACCTGAGTTCTACACACTAATACAGTAACACAGACGTCCATACCTGAGTTCTACACACTAATACAGTAACAGACGTCCATACCTGAGTTCTACACACTAATACAGTAACACAGACGTCCATACCTGAGTTCTACACACTAATACAGTAACACAGACATCCATACCTGAGTTCTACACACTAATACAGTAACAGACATCCATACCTGAGTTCTACACACTAATACAGTAACAGACATCCATACCTGAGTTCTACCGCACTAATACAGTAACACAGACATCCATACCTGAGTTCTACACACTAATACAGTAACACAGACGTCCATACCTAGTTCTACCACACTTGTATAGCTTTTTCCACACTTCTGCAGAGCTTCTTGAGGTCTACAAGCAGGTTGAACAGATGAACACCAGTGGTCTTTTCTGCAGACCTAGTGATGCACTGCAGTTGTGGATGCCGTGTTTGGTGGCAGAGCTGTACCAGACAGTGATGGAGGAGCTGATGACTCTGTAATGGCTGTGTGGAACTAATTGTTCACAACAAATTGTTGTGACCGCTTCAGAGGACCAGCTTATTTTGGATGAGGCCAATGACTATAGTGACTTTGTAACAGAGGCGTCTGTGGATGTGTACAATCATTAGTGTACAGTGAAAACAGCTGTGGGGAGAGCTTTAGGTGGACAGTATCTTACTATTATCATGATAAATTTTGAGTGTGTAGTGGATTTCATAAGTACTTAACACTGAACTGCCTGTTTCATTAAAAGAGAACATGATTGGTCCTGTTTAATCGGGTGCAGTGAAGTGCAGTGTGTCAGATATTGAAAAAAATCATTGTACCTGTAGTTCTTGGCAGTATTTTGTTTTTAAATGTAACTTCACTGTGTTTATGTCTGTTTAATTGTGTCAAACCCTGAGAAAAGCGAATGTTTGTGATGCATATTGGGTACCGTGAAAATGTTTAAATTGCTGCCATGTTGCCCAGTCCTAGGGTGAGCATGCATCCTTTTAGAGCGTCAGTCAGGGTTGTTTGAGTGCCTGATAAGTTACCATACACAAACCACATGTAATAACAGACACTCGTAATGTTATATTAATAAGAACTAACTAAGAAAAACATTCTGCCTTAGAACAACAACTGTACTTTCATAATTATGAGTGCAGCACGACTAAGGTGTCATCAGGGGCCGTTAACATTGTTTGACTGATTTTCAATACTTTGACCGAAGTATGAAGACATGCCATCCACGCCTGTAGCAGAGAGTTGAACCAGAGGGGCCACTGCAGAGGCGGAACTGACCACGATAAAAATGATATTTTTTACAGTTTGGAAAGCTGTGTTCACATTTTAAGCAAGGCTGGTATATTTTATTATTACAGAGCAGAGCATTTCAGCTGTTAATGAAAAAAGGGTCTTAGGATGGAGTTACTCTCTAAGAAATGTAGTGACTGAAGCAGACATGGGAGCAAACAGAGTGATAGTGTGGGACTTCAGGTTTAATCTTTCTGAAGTGAAATAACACAATAATGGTGTAGTTCTGTAAAAGGTATGGCTGTTGTGTGATCTTTAGTTTGGCCTCCAAACTGTAATTAATATCATAAGACAGAATGGAATTTCAGATGTTTTTGGACAGGCTATGATATCTGCTTCATTTTATGCAGCACTGAACACATTTAAGCATCACAGCTACATTCTTATAGCAAACTAATCTATGCTGGGTATTAGAGATGAAACGATATTGAAATTTCATATCACGATTATCATGACCAAAATTATCACGATTGTCGGTATTATCGCGATATTGTTCAAAAGCGTTGAAAAGTCAATAAATAATAAATACTGATACACAAACTGAAACTTGTTTTACCAATTTGTATGTTAACACAAGTAGAATTGGCAGCAATATGCACTTTTTGTTTGCATAAACATTAAAAAATATAGTCAATACATTTGTAGTATTACTTTTGTATTACTTACAATATTTGTAATACTCTGTAAACAAAAGAATAGCAAATGTATTATTATTATTATTATCGTTATTATTATTATTATTATTATTATTATTATTATTATCATTATTACTGTTATTACTATTATTATTATTATTATTATTAAGTACAATAACTATGGATTTTCCTGCGTAGAGTATTAAATCTGGACCAACTCTGAGGTGGGTCTTAATGGAAAATGACTACTTCTAAGAAGTGCTGAACTCGGGGGGATTTCTGTCCGAACTGCAGCTGCAGCATTATTGTGCCGTTGTGGCGCTGAACCCCTAATCAACACAGCGCACCAGGAAAAACAGCCAAAATCACAGAGGAACTGCGTGACGCGCTGTGAGCTGCAGACAGTGTAGAACTCACACACCTGTCTTCACCTGTGGAGCTGCTTCTCTAAAAGCATTTAAAACTAAAACATAACTTAAAATTAACGCACATCTGAGCTGCGGCAGAAACACTCCTACAGTTTAATCTCTGAAACTCTGCTTCTCCTAAAAGCAGCACAGCGTTTACTCGCGCGAGGTCCCGTCTCAAAGCACACTATCTTCCCTATCTAGTGCACTTCGTGGATCATGAAATAGCAAATCCTTCACCCAAAGAGTGCAGGAAACGTTCGACTAAGTCATTTATAATCAACATTAACAACAGGTTACAAAGTCCCTATTTAAAGCTCAGCTGCTGGTTAATGATGATCGTGTTTGTTTGAACTGTAGCGCCCTCTGTAGGGGACACTGAGTGATTTGAGACGGTGTTGTTCTCCTCTCAGATAGTAAACACTGCAAGCGGGACGAGAAAGGGGAGCTGTGCAGATTGAACCTCTGCAGCGTCTCGTTAACTCAGAGCTTATTTTGGAGACTCTGCTCCACAGAAATGTGTTAAAAGCTTTAGTTTCGATTCACAGCTGATTCACCGATTTTATTTATTTATTTATTTTTTTTGACGCTAAAAGCTTCATTTTATATTATTACCGAACCATAAGCATAATTTAAACCACACAGACCAGGACATTTCTTCTATTTCGAAGTCCACAGACTTCTCCGTTAAAGTTAACCTTGCGTTCTCTATAAAGTAGCGGGTGGTGGTCGCGAAGATGACTCGTAGGGTTTGATGTGTTGCCCCCTTTTGCCGCTATTTTCTTTCGGCCTGTTCTGCAGACAGGGTGGTCATCTGCAGACAGGGTGGTCATCTGCAGACAGGGTGGTCATCTTCAATTAACTTTCCTTCTGCATCCTTATAAAACCCAAAACATGACCGAACGTCAGACTTGGTCTTCTTAGAAGGCTGAAATATCTCTGAATCTCTGTCACTACATTCGCCATGTTCTCTCTTCTCTCCCTCTCACCCCCCCCTTCCCCTCTACACACACACACACACAGACAGACACACACACAGAGCTGCGTCTGAGAGATGATTCTGCCTTTGTTTGACTCTGTACAGTGAGTTTTTCACACCGCGGTAATCAACCACGGTTTTAACGATACTTTAAAGTTCAAACGGTACTACTAAACGTCATTAATTTTACCGCGGTTTACCGTGAAACCGGTAACCGTTTCATCTCCACTGGGTACAATAGATGTGATAAAGGAGGCTCACTGACTGAAAGGTCTGCAGGTACAGAAACACTGTGTCTGTTATTAACAGATAAAAGATAATGTTTAAGGCACTGATAGTGGGTGGCTTGTTATTTTGTCTTAAAATTTAATGTTTCTTTCATTTCATCTCATCTCTCCTTTTCCCTTTGTGTTTTGTTTCGTTTTTTTGTCTGTCTCTGTAGGTCAGTCATGCAGTCCTGCAGTTCTGCTCTCCGTGTCCTGATCTCACTGATCACTACATTCATTACTGGTAACTGCACTGACTGGTTACTGCACTGACACTCCTTTATCATCTTTACACACTTTACTGTATTTTACCTTCACAGTGGGTTGTGAACCAGGGGTCGTATTACAGAAACGTCTGAACTCTGAAATATGATCTGTTCAGTCTCCATGGCGACTTCAGTACAGACTGAATTTAGTTCAGTATCTATTCCAGAATAACAGCTCCTAACTTCATAATCTCATCATGAACTCCAGATAAGAAAACAGCATCACACAAACATCCTAACTAGACTAAACCTCCTAAATCCTGTCCTAACTTTAGGATGAACCCCAACAGGGTCCTCACTTCTGTTTAAGGTCCGTTTCTATGGTTTTTAGGCAGCTGAGTCAGCAGCATAGTTCACTACCAGCATAATGAGCTCCATTTATTTCTACTGTAAAACCGTGCCTTTCTCTAACTCTGCGTTTGAAAAATACTCTTTAAATTATAGAATTGATGAATTTAAATGAAGCTGAACATATTTTAATCTCTTATCATAATTTCTCTTGCAGTGTCTGAATCAGCAGATCCCTCTGTGAAAGTGAAGTTTAATGAGACGGCCTCTCTGTCCTGCTCTGAGAGATGTTCTGGTTTGGTCAGATGGACTGTGTTCACTAAATCCACTGATGTTCTGGCTGAGTGTGATCAGACTTCATGTAGATCAGTGAAGGAGGGATATCAGATGATCCATGATCAGTACCTGAAGGGAGATTTTTCCCTCATCATCACTGAAGCTGATCTCACTAAGAGAGGGAGGTACACGTGTGACTGTGATGATAAAGATCTCTGTGATGTGAAGCTTCAGATTGAACGTAAGTGTTTTTGTTTTTTTTTTTTCCTTCCCCCCAGACTTACAAGTTCTATCAGAACTCAGTGGAAATGCTCTGTATCAGGTTTGCCTTCAGTTGTTAAGATTTCTTTTTGTTTTTTTCTCCTCAGCCTTGAACACCATGGTTCAGAAAAAATCTGGTGAATTTCTTGTCCTGGATTTGGACATTACAGAGGAAGTGGAGATGATTCATAACAGCACAGATGCAGCTGGACCATCCAGTGGTCAGATCTGTACAGTGAATGGACGATCACTACAGTGTAAACCTGAATACACACAGAGAGCATCACTCACATCTGCTTTTGTGCTGAGAGGAGTGACTCCATCTGATAGTGGAGTTTATACTGTAATGGACAAGAAGAATGAAGAGGTCATTCATATCTACACAGTGACAATCGAAGGTATGATTTAGTGTGATTTTTACAGCTTGATCACTGTTTTACTGAGAGGGTTCTACTGGTGCTGGTATAAGAGAGGCAGCAGTAGTTATTAGTTAGGTGGAACTAAATTTAGGAAAGTAATGTTTGTTTTTGTCAGTAATTTACATTTCCAATCAGAAATCACTGTTCAGGAAAACGCTGGTCAGTGTTTCCTCTACAGTTTGTTCAGGCTGGGTGGTTGAACCTTTGAAGCTGTCAGTGAAATACATGTGCTTTACAGCTCATACTGGGCCTAAGAACAGTTCACATGTGTTTCTATAGATGTATAAAATTAGTGTTAATCGTTCTTTAAACGAGCACTAAACACTATTTGGATGGTTAAGTCTATCAGAAAGCCCAGATAGATCTGCTCTTGATTAGTAAGGCTTGGAGATTGCTTTAGGAAGCTGTTTGTAATGTCTGCAAGAATCCAGAAGGGGGAGCTCTTGATGGTTTTAATTGTAGATCAAACAATAAAATGAAGCACCACAATTAGGTTTCTCATCTTTAATTATTGTCTCTTCAGGGGTGCAACATCATATGATACAACTGGAAATTGTGGTGTTATGTGGTTGCTGTGGTATCTGTGGCAGTTGCTAGGGTATTTCTAGGATGTTGCTGGGTGGTTGCTGTGGTATGCCAGGTGGTTGCTACAGTGTTGCTTAATAGTTGCTGTGGTACCCAGGTGGTTGCTAGGGGTTGTTATGGTTTACAAATGATTGCCATTATGGTGCGAAGTGGTTGCTGTGATAACCTAGGTGGTTGCGAGGGTGTTGTTAGGTGGTTGCTGTGGTGTTCCAGGGTGTTGCAAGTTGGTTGCAGTAAAGGTATCTAAGATGATTGCTATGGTATAGCTAACTGGTTGCTCTGTCTGGTATCTTTGGTGATGTCCATGGTGTTGCTAGGTGGTTGCTGTGGCATCTTAGGTGGTTGCTGTGATGTCCCAGGTGGTTTTGGGGAACTGAACTGAGCAGTTGCTATGGTATCCCACATGGAGGCTAGGATGTTGCTAGTGTATTTGTATCATGGTGACATAAGAGGGGTGCGCAACCTTTTTCACATTGTTCCTCAATTCATTCAGATGGAAAAAAAATAATTTAATAATAAATGTAGGAAAACTGTTCGATCAAAAAGCACATCATTCCCCATCAGACCAGTCATTCTCAAAACTGCAGGATGGATTAGAAAATCTTGCAGGAAAGTGAGAGGAAGAAAAGGATGAATATACAGTCGGATAACCAGAGATTTTGTTTCTGTAGGGATAAATAAATCCTGTGATTAAAGCCGACTGTGACTTGATGATAGAAGACTACTTCTCTGGTACAGACCAGCTCCCCTGTGCAGCTCACTGCTCTATCACACACTGATCTTATAGCAGTGATTGGATCTGAATTTGGTGCAGTTACATTTGAAAATTGACTGAGAACTTTTTCCTCAACAGAAATGAGAGAATAACATAATGTCTGTATATATACCTCATGTCTGTTCATCATCCAAGCTGGATGGGTTGTTAGTTTGACCAGACAGTTTAATTGCTGGGGAGAAAATGCTGTTTTTATGGGTTTTTTTTTATTTTTTTTTTATTGTGTTTTATTTATGTGTGAAGCCCAGATCTTGTAGAATATCAGATCCTCTGGGTAGTTCAGCTTCTCTAGTGCTTCATACTCATTAAACCATTGAGAAGATATCAATCATTACAACAGCATCACACTGCAAGACAAGATGTTGTTCATTATTGCTTCATTAAGGAGATGCTAAACTATCCAGAGGATGATTAATCAGATCCTAAATCAGTGGTTTCTGCTGGAACTGCTGAACTGTGTTTATCTCCAGTTTGAGGTCTTGCATTGTAATGTTGTGATGTTTTTATCAGATGGTGGTGATGGTTCTGAAGCACTGAGACAGATTGATAAGCCTCGATTCCGCCGCAGTGCTACATCTGGTACGCATTTCTTTTTACTAATTCATAACTCGTTCATTCATAGAGATCCTCCTGAACTGAGATTGGATTATTGGATTATTACAGAGTGTGAACTGTGTTTGTATCAGGAATCTGACAGTGTGCATAAAGTGATCTGACATGTTCTGTGTTTTTGTTTTGTAGATGACCAGCCCTGCAGAGACCAGAGAGCCGCTGTGCCAGTGTGGCTGTTTGTCCTCTCCCTCACTGTGTGTGGGGTATTATTGTTGGTGATTGTGTGGATGTGGAAAAAAAATCAGCAGCTCCAGAAGAGATGTGAAGGCAATGGAATCAGTAACCATAATAGAGAAGAGACGATGAGGCTGTGAGCCCCACTAATAAGCAGTGACAGAGGAGAGATCATTCCCGGTCTCTGTCTCTGTTTTTTGCTTGCTCCCTTTTAGGGGTGGGCGATATGGCAAAAATATCGTTTCACAATTTTTTTTTTTTTTTGCAGGATCACGATTCTATTTCATGTTGGTTTTAATACCATTTTGCAAGTTACTAAACAGTACAACCAAACTAATCTCCCCATTTAAAAATATAGTATTAAAAGAAAAAAAGAATAACAGACCATTTTGGCCTAACGTGTGTACGCAATTTTTGCACGTCAAAAAATTAACATTGGTTTTAAAAGGTAAACACCACCACCACTCAGGTAAAGTTCTCCCTGCATAATAGCCAGAATCACTTGTTGTTGCATCACGTTTTGATCTTTGCTTTCTATCTTGGCACGACATTCAGTGTACGTCCGTGGAATGGCGGTGTTGGAAAAGTATTTGCGGCTGGGTAACTCATACCGCGGATCAGCTACTTTGAGGGGTCTTTGTAGCCCCTCGTTTTCCACTGTTTTGATAGAAACCATCCTTTGCCAGATAACATGTTACTGTTTCTGTTACCTCTTTCCATCGTTTACTTGTCTTCTCATACGGAGCGCGTCTCTCACATGCTTGTGTTAGCGTTGTTTGTTTTGGTCTTGCTGTATCGTCAGCGTTAGCCTCTGCTGGCCGCAGTGTACTGGACCTCCTCAGTGCTTGACTTTGTGCTTGACTGTTTGGGATGTTGTCGCTTTAAATGGTTGAAAAGGTTTGTCGTGTTGGCGTCCGACGTGAGAACCTTCTCCGTGCAAACTTTGCAAATCTCCATGGTTTGTGTCCCGTCTGTTTGGGAAAATCCAAACCACTTCCATATTACTGATGTTCACTTTTTTTTTAGGGACTAACTCCTCACCGGTGTTTTCATTCATGGCTGAGAAAGGGGAGGGAAAAGCGAGGCATGATGGTACGCTATGATTGGTTTATCTGCGTGTCTCTGGGGTGGGCATGAAAGGGACTAGCGAGTAGTGCTCTGACTGAGGGAAAATAAAAACCCACATCGCTTGTATGTGCATAGAGCTGCAGCGGATATAATGTGCACTGTAACACGATCCAACGATCTCCCTGTGATGGCGTATCGTGGACACATTATAATCCTTCACAATCTGATATTGTCATATCGCACACCCCTACTCCCTTTTTCTTCTTTGTTTTGTTTCTTTTTTTTTGTTTTTTAAGCATCTATGGCTACATAGCCAGTTCTGTCTGAACGATGTGAAAGGCAGGGTAGTAGCAGCTCTGTTTGGCCTCTCCTTTTTGTTTAACCCAAAACTGAATGCATGGTATAAAGTCTCTGACGCTGTTGTTGCTCCTGTTGAGTTAAAAGACAAAACAGAATCGCAGTTACAGCAGGATGATGCATATCAGGCTGATACATGTTGGCTGGCTACATAAACGATCAACTAACAGAAAAAGATGAGTTAGTTCAGTTTCAGTTCAGATCAGTTTAATCAAGTCTACTTAAGATGAGGATTTATTAAAATCTTATTTGAACCATCAGATTATTAATCCTTATCAGATTTATTAGTTCATAATTGGTGAAAGTTGAGATGATGTATGTTTTTACTTTGTAATGCAGACTGAACTGAACTGTCCAGAGGATGATTAATCGACTGAACTGCTAAATTATCTCACACTGTGATACAGTTGTGGTGTTTCTATCAGGTGATGATTCTGAAGGACAGTCAGATTGATAAATCCTCTCAATTCCACCGTCTGAAATGTCTTAAGCTACATATATAAACTCACCACCTCCCGGTGAAATTCACCTTTCACATGAATAGTTTAGATTTATAGGTCGTCTGCAGTTCAGCGCCAATCTTTACAGTATTTATTTATGTAGAACGGATGATTTCTGGCCCATTTCTGATCAGTTTGTTCCATTAATCAGTTACAGTTTTCTGCCCTTCCAGTCACTGAGCTCCACAATCCAGTCCAGGTCTTCTAATGTCTCCTTTTTGTAGTGGAAGGGATCCTAAACAGCCTCCCGACACGACTAACCGCTTCAGCTCACCTTGCTTTGCTGTGTTCTGTGTTTGTTTGCTCTATTATTCTTATTCATATTCTGACTGACTTACTGGCTTATTGAGAACATTGTTCTGTGTTATGACCAGAGATTTAGCCCAGCCCTCTTAACCTGGTTGCTTCTTGGCCCAGTCCCATTTCTTCTTTTTACCCCTACCCCTTTTTTTTGAGCGTCACCCTAAGCTCTTGGAACTGAGTTACAAGGGGTAGTGGTTGAAATCTTACCCTAAGAAATGGGACCCTCAAAAAAAAGCTTCATTATTCATTACCAGCGCTGCTCTGTAGGCGACCCTGCCAGTCTGCAGTGACAGCAGAGGAGGGTAAAGTTCAGCTCCTCACTGCTGGGCTTTAGATACATTTAGGGCATCATATGATCTTCAAAGAGGGGGGCAATTATTTATTATCACCCACCTCTAATTATTCAGTGATATGAAGCTGAAGTCAGATATTCACCAGCTTCTTGTTCGAATTTTCCCGTTCCACCTTAAATGGTGCAGCAGTTACATTCTGGCGCTTCAGGCGTCAGAACCGCCGGACTATTTAAGGTGGAACGGGAAAGTTAGCTAGCTACCGAGACATTAGCATGCTTTTAGCAATTTTCTAATACTTGAAAAAACGACAATAATACACAAACGACATTAAACTAAGATAATAAGATGGTTATCGTAATTTTTAAATGGAGAAAATTCTCACATTTGTGGGTTTCTTTGGTCTCTTGTTCTCCATCTTACAGGTTTTTCTTTTTTTCTCATAACTCTCTGTTTGGAGTCTCTGAAAAACCTCCGTTTGGAAAGTCATGTACCCCCAACACTTCACCCCACGCCTAGACGTGAATGCGCAAAACAGAGGGCTAAGAGCTGAGTGGTGGGGCGAGGGGTGAAATGGGATTGGGCCCTTGTATATTATTGTACATATGTAAATTAAAACTGGAAGGATAAGTGGCTTAGAAGAAGAGTGTGTGTGTGTGTGTGTGTGTGTGTGTGTGTGTGTGAGTGTGTGTGTGTGTGTGTGTGTGTAAATTTAGTCATGAAAGTCATGTATGTAAAGGCCTTATGGAGAGGAATTCAGCGTAATGCTGCAGAGGTGTATTTCAGTTTATCACTTTCTTTTTTTCATATTTTGCACTCTGCCATTGTGTCAGTATCCACAACTTGCAGAAGCAAGTCTTGATATAAAAAAGCTGTGTGAAGCTTGTTTACAATGGAAAATGAAAATTTCATATATTCACAGTATTACATTGAGTGTATTTCCTGCTTTTTAACATATGAGAGAGATCAGTTTAATCAAAACTAGACTGTAAACAAAACTAGAAAAAGCAGCTGTAGTTCACAGAGGCTTCCTGAAGACACAGTATACAGTATATTTATAGTTTCTTTCCAGCACAAATATTGTGAAACACTCAGTTCAGAGTGGACGCCGATGTGCACATATCCAGAATGAAGGGATTTCACTGCAGAATATTAAATTCAGCCAAATTATGAAGGAGTTCAGAGTGGATCATAAATCTTTAGTTAAAACTGTCCACTAGAGGACAGCAGAGAGTCAAATACACTGAAAAAACTGTACAGTTTCAAAGCTTATAAAGTTTCATTTTAATATAATTATTTGAATAAAATAATCAATATAATCATATCAATATCAATATAATCATATTTCTGGGTTTGGGTTTCTTCAGTAGTCTAACTCAGTGCTGCTCAGGAATGTGGGCGTTTTCATTTTTACAGTCTGCTCAGGATCATTCAGAGTGTTTATACTGTTACTTTGTGAATCTGGAAAGACGTGTTGGTCTCAGAAATCCTAATGCTGACCCTCAAGTGGATTATTATTGAGCATATTTACACATTTTTCTATGCAAATCAGTCATATAAGGGAAAACGCAGCCCAGTCTAATGCGTATCTGTACATATTTAGAAAGCAGCCCTCGTCTGGTTTAAAGAACTGAGTTGTTTGAGTTGAACAGAATTGTGCTGAGTTGTGTTTCCACTGATTTAGCAGACATTTTAGTGACTGTTACAACTCGCCCCCCAGTCTGTTACGGGTAACCCTGACTACAATGGACGTACTAACACTGACACAGCTGTCTGCTTTCAGCTGAATTGTTCACAAACTGTATGAGACCAAAACAAAGCTGTCTTTATTTGTAGCAGTGATGTGTACACTGACTGCTTATAACACTGCATTATAAACAATGTTCATTACAAAAATAATAGGATATTTTTTTAACAATATTTTAAAAAATGTATCTTGCCCAAGAGTTTTTATAGTGTTTTATTATATTTTATTATGCCTGTGTTTTGTACATATAAAAGTTTTCTGCCATGTTTATACTGTGTAAAAACTGCGCATGAGAAAAGTGTCCCTGGGGTGGCCCAATATTTTTATGATGATTTATATACAAAATAAAGCATTTTGTACTGTTTTAAATGTGAAGTCTGCTGGTCTTTATTTCATACATTTCACTCTAAAACTGTTCACATGTGGACCTTACAGCGATACTCACCCGACAGCAGCACACAGAAATGGAAATGTTGCCATAGTAACAGCAACATTTTAACTGTATTGATTATTTGAGGTTAAAAGACAGGAAGACGCTCTGTTCTCTTTATTTTTTTGTTGTAGAATTTTAAAAAACAGGAAAGCAGGACTTTAATGAGTTCAATCCAGAGTGTCAGAAGAGGAAAAGCACCAAATCTCTACTGAGCTGCGTCCCATCAGGACAGGAGTCCAACACCTGAGATCTACAGCAGTCGGTCTCAGAGTCAGTCCTGGTGACCCAGCACTCTACGTTTTTTAGTTTTCTTACTCCAGCACATCTGAGGAAACACAAAACATGCCGAATGTGCAAACTCCCAGGATTTGAGCACCCGGATCTGTTTTATGTCACTATAATTTATTTACTAATGTATTAGTCAGACATTGTCAACTGTCAGAGTTAGCCCAAAAGGCTAATTCTCACTTGTCCTCCCTGATCAGATTTTATAAGGCACCCTAGAATAGCTCACATCTAGAAATATACATTAATACTATCATAACATACGAGAACACAAACCTGTAACCATAGCAATAATGCACATCCATCAGAGTTCACAGATAAATATGTGTAAGATAACACAGCACAAAGTTAGTAGAGCTGCAAAACAAGGTATACAAGACATCCATGAAGTAACTCAGCATGTATAACCAGGAGGGAAAGAAAGGAGACAGAATATGGCAAA